TGTTTTAAAATGACCTTAAAGGTGTGGTGACCCCATGGGCAGAACATTTGGTTCTCAATTGAAAGTTTCAAATCCCTATAAAGGTGCGTTCACACGGCACGTGACGTCTAACTCGCCGAATTGTATGGGCGAGCTCGCGAAACGGGCAAACCCGGGCGGCCTCGGGCCTACGCGCGTGGTGGCGCGTATTCGAGTACGTATAGAGAGCAAGACCGCGCGCGTTCTCGCACCGCGCCTTTGAAGTTACCGACCTGCTGCAGATGCGAACAGGCCGCCACGGGCGAAGTTTTAAAGAAATGCGCGGCGCGGGCCGCGAAACGAGTCACGCGCCGTGTGAAGCCGCCTTAACGACACGTACCATGACTTTACTCATATGTAAGTTACGTACACGTATGAATACTTAGTGGCAATATTTCTAGTTTACGGCGAGGGAAAACATAGTGACGAAACCTGCACGTCAAAAAAGGTTTACAACTCTTGGAGTTTCTCAGGACCCATGCTTAGCAGAGTGACGATGGATGTAAGGAGGTCACACCGTCACAGCAGTATGATATATAATGGACTGATAATGTTGATAATTTGTCTGAAGCGCTTAGGACAGTAACGAATGGAAAATTAAAAATACTACGTCATACCGCAAGCTTTCTAGGAAAATTGTGATTAAAGATGTAAGACATCATTACAGACAGCTGCGGGAGCGGCATCAGCAATTATATCTAGCATTAGAGTCGACTATAATCAAATGTTTAATGATTGATGTAACGTATACTTCGGGGCTCGGAAGTTAGGTTGGAAAGTTATGGTGTATAATGTAAAGACTTCCTACCGTTTGTCATGTATATTTCAAATTTATTAGATAATAATGGGCAAGACAACAACACTTGGTCTCAAACTATAGATTTTCCTGTACGAGTATCAGGGCAACGGAATTGGCTCCCAAGCACTACACAGAACACCCACCCGAAACAATTAGTATTAAATAAGTAATATTCGACCAAATTAGAAAACAACGTCAGGTATGAAGCTTCATTTGCGTCACGCGTGTTATAATTCGGTCGAGTATTACTTATTTGACACTAATTGTTTCGAACCGTAAATAAAGTTTCGAATTTCGAACAGATGTCAGACGGAGAACGAAAGTTCAGGGTTAGAATCAAATTACAAAAGTCCATTTCCCGAATTGATTCTACCGGGAGTCGAATCTACATTCGACGTACTACGCACGATTATGCTAAATATTTGTATACTAGAAATGTATTTTATTCTACTTCATAGCTGAGCACTAGAGATATGCGGCGATTGTAAATTCAGCGGCGTGTGGATTTTCGAACAATGGCGGCGACGGCGTGATCGGCATAGGTGTATTTTCACATGTTCGTCCCGTCCCTTGATATTATTAAAAAAGTTGACAAGTGATTTATGATGGTGTTTGACTGCCGAACAGCACCAGCATGCATGCACCATCTAGCGGGGAAAACAGTCAGTGTGCCTCCCCATTTCAATCTTGAAAAGAAAGTGCGTAGGCAGAAACGTATTTCATTTTAATTGTACGGAATTATTATATTTAAATATACATAACTTAGTAAATTTAACGCTGATACTACATGAAAGTAACATAAATTTTCGTTACGCCGATTTTACACCGGTCAAATTCAAAGTCAAAGTCAAAGTCAAACAATCATTTATTCCAGTAAAATTTTTACACTTGAAAACGTCATTTTTTAAGCTACTGCTCGTGCATTACGCTGACCTCCCTGAGAAGAACAAGCAAGAAACTGTAGGGATTGCTCGTTTTAAATAAACTCAAATGCTATAGAATACATTTTGAATCATATTTGTGTGGAATCTAGACTCACGTTTACTTTCCATACATCTTTATCTAACACGTAGTCTACAATTTTGTAATAAGACTTTTCAATTAAAACACTTTTAATGTAAGTTTTAAACTTAGGAAATGGTAAATTTAATATATGCTCCGGAATCTTATTGTAAACACATATGTACAGTTTCCCATAAGAGAATCCTTTGCCTTAGTTAAACGAAAACGTGTTACCACGAGTTTGGACTTAGTTCTAAGGTTAATATTATGGATATCTTCTTTCTTAACGAAGTTATGTATGTGTTTACGGGCATACGAAATATTTGAGTAAATGTACTGAGATGCCACAGTCATGATATCAGTCTCCTTAAACTTTTCTCTGAGAGAATCCGAGAACCTAAACGGTACACAGAACGAATTACCCCACATGAGAATCCCGTAGAATATTATACTGTGGAAGTAACTAAAGTAAACTAGTCTAGCAGTAGCAACATTGGTAAGTTCACGTATTCTGCGGACTGCGTATGCAGTATAGCTTAATCTGCTGGCCAAGGAAAATTCATCGGTACAACTCTATTCTGGACATAATTGTCGTGATCAGAATCAATTATTTTTCTCTATGTACTTTTGTTAGCATCTGGATACTAATTCGCTCTCTGTTACTTGTACTAGCAATAAACCGAAGTTTTTGAAAGTTAATATATGTATCACAGAGGTATGAGTATGAAGTAACTATTATCTGTTATGATCAGGAAGTTACAAACCTAGAGTGCATAATACCTCTGTCTGAAATACTGGAATTATTGTACTTTGGAGTTAATTTAAAAGTGTAATGTATTTAGAAGAAAAGTTTTACAATTTTAAAGCAAAAATATAAGTTTTTATGTTTTGCGTTTTATATTATCTGTGTGCAAGTATATTCATTCATTTTTACCATTCTGGGATTTCAAATGTCGGTAATATGAACTCTATTTATATATAACTTGAAGATGAAGTGAAAAAAGTCGCCTGTTCAGATCATTGTTTATTATATTACTATAAATCGAATAATACTTCATAATTGGATATATTGATACCCCAGCTATCAATCAATAGAGAGCGATAGGAGGGGCGATAATTTAGTTCAGTAGCCGGAGTTACATGCACGGACCAAGGGGCGCTATATACAACGCTAGTGAGATGATTTATTTTTATTTATTACCACATTTTATAGTTAAACACTACAGTAACATAAACATAACTAAGTTTTTCCTGCATGCCACACATTCGTAATACAAAAACCATTTCTAGATAGATAGTCAGGTTATATACTTTATTGCTCGCACACAAGAACAAAAACGGTGCATAAACAATTTAAAACTAGTGTGAGCATAATCGGTTTTATCCCTAAGAGAGACTTCTAGATAACCTTTGAGGCAGAGGAAAACTAAACATATTTGGAACGCAGTGTGCTGATGGTAAAATTTTAAATGCATAATTTTAGTAGCAGTAGAGTTGCTTGTGAAAAAGTTGCACCAGAGAAGTACTACCACGTTACCTATTTCTACCGAGAAGCACTGTTGTGAGCAGGTGTACGAGTTGTTTGTCACGTCACTTAATAACAACATAAAAAAGGCAGAATTACGACGATTAGTAGATAGCGTTTGTATTTGAAAGCTGAGGACGCCACTACATCTTATTCGGTTATGAAAAGAAGAACGATAGGTGTAAGGCGATAAATTCCTAAGTACGTCACTGTACTTAGATATAGGTTATCAATGATTGACCTCACTATTATAAAGTGTTTTTGGCGAGACATTATTTCATATTTTTATGTAGGTAATCTATATTATATTTATTAATGCAGATTCGATTATTTACAACTGCAGTAAATTTTCAAATATAGCGTCTATTTATAACTATAGTTTTGTAAAAATAGAAATTTAGATGACCTACCTATAAATTCGAATATAAACTATTTATTTAAATAGCCTATTTCTTTAGTCGTCGCATATTTCTTTTTTTTTTAAACAAACCAACATTTCTAGCTCTTTATAGAACCAATGCAATCGCGAAAACCTATAGCCAAGATACCTACCTCATTATGAGTAGCTATGCGAGAACATGATTATTAACTTTCAAGTTGTAAAGCACCGATTTTAGTACCTTTGTACAAATATGATACTTAGGCATTTATACATTATAATCATTGTTATGAAGCCATAATGAATTCAATAGGCTCCTCATCATACCACCATTTATGTACATATGTACCTGCTAGGTACCTAGTAATGACGTTATCGCGTACCTACCTAGATGCTGTCCTTATTATCTTCAATACATTATACCTCTCACCGGGCAAGGGTTTAATCTAAGGAAAGATTTTAAGCTACCCAGCTGGTTCAATGCCGATTAGAGACTATACGTTTTCCGAGGTTTGTGAACCTTCCTTCTTTCACCATTCACAAAGCACTCCCAAATACGGTTACTTAGTTTTTTTATGATACCAAGTGAGTGGCTTTGAGTGACAACCCTGTCCATAGCACTTGCAAAGCCTCTCAGAGCTTTACTCGAATTAAAGCTATACGTCTTTGCCGCAACAGGGACTCGATGCTATTGGAACAACTGTTGTCCCAGCTACCACTTCTCGGGTTTTTTTTTTGTATCTATATTAAGACTAAATTACCTAAGAAGTAGTGCAAAAACAGATATTTTTTTCACATGGTCTTATACTTACAGTATTTTAAAGAATATCAATTATAGGTATGGTACCTATGTGATAATTTTTTATCAAACTTCTTATATAAACCGCAAAATGTTTACCAGTTACGTAGGTATTTAATATGTGTGATGTAAAAAGAGTCTCAAAACTATTAAAAGTAACAGTCAAGTACATTTGGTGCAATGAACTTATACAACTTTAAAATTTGCGTAAATCGTAACGTTTCGAAGGGACATTAGGAAAGAAAGCATATTTGTAAAATCAGTCACGCTCTTAAAACATTAGTTATATACATATATAGCTACAACATATTTTTTACTTACTTATTAATTATTATATAGGTGAACTATGTTGTCACATTCCTGGAGAAATCCCCAAGCTACGCAACACCTCCTTGGTCGTAATTTAGTGATCTAGTCTCAGAGGGTAGTCGTAAACGAAACTAACCCACACAATAAAAAACAAACCAAATATACGTACCGTCAATTCCTACTAGAACAGTTTTCTCCCCAACAGAAGAAGCACGTAACTGCACAAAAATTTAATATTTTATCTTGAAAAACCCGTTCACATCACTTCACAGTTTGGCGAGCTGCGCGGGCGTCGGTTTCGTGCGATACTGCCATATTATCTATCGCTAACACTGACCATGTTATGTAGTAGGCTATACCTCTCGTAGTAGGGTACCGTAGGTGTTTAATTATGTGTATGCATTATAAGATTTTTTTTAGTCTAGTCTGTTTTTAGTATAGGCAGAAAAGGACTAGCTTTCCGAGTAATTGTGGATATTTAGTGTTTGTTACTTATTATTTATATTAAATTAAATTTCTCAGATGACTAACGGAATCTAATGTTAAATCACAGTTCAAGCAACGGGTTAAATAATGCTAAAACATGATTTTACATTTTTTTTATATAAAACACTATTCCCATAGTTCCTTTCCTGTCAAAATAATAAGTTACGTCTTGGAATGATGTCGAGGACGAAATGCATCTCTTTAAAGCAGTATTTGTTGTAACATCTGTAATCTGCGTCTGTAAAAACTTCATATAGATGGTTTACCTGCTGCACAAGACAATCGATATGCTAATTATTTAGGTAATGTATAACTCAGAGTAACAAGACTACAACGTGCAAATGAATATCGATTAGAAATATGACTGCTTATAGATGTAGAATTTCCAAAAGACCATAGGTAGTAATAAAATACCTCTTGTAACATACGAGGTTTAAAACTAAAGTTAATACGAACTGGAGCTTATCTTAAACAAACAACGGCTAATCTCGTCATCATTGTAACCTGTCCATTGTAATTTTAGATAGATACGCGGCTTCTTAGACGTTTCAATTGGGTCAATGTTTTAGGGCTTACCTACTTTCAAGGTCCCCTCGTTGTTAGAATCTTGCCTTTAGGATACAGTCTAACAGAAATTGAAGCGAGGAATACAGGATGTAACTAAAAAGCGCGACTATACTTAATTCAACTGGAATTTTGGTATTATAACAAATTTTCTTTATATTTATTTTTTGAGTTCTTAGGTTTTCGCGATTGTTACACATTTATTTTTACAATATCAAGTGACGGGACGGACAAGTCGTGCACCTGATAATTAGCTACACGCCTGTCCATAACAGTAACAGTGCCACTCAGAGCTTTAAATCGCAAAGATCTGAGAGGCACTGCCGCTGCGTCTATCACCCTGAGATCTAAGTTGACAAGTCCCATGTGCCTGTAATTACACCACCACCCTTATCCTTTAAAACCGGAACACAGTAAGGCTCACATTATTGTTTAGCGGCAGAAATAGGTAAGGTGGCAGCACTACCCTAGACGAACTATTCCACAAGCAGCTCTTCGATTGTTCGATTTTCCTATCAATAATAATAATAATAACAACAAATTTCTGTCTTTTTTGTTCTGTTTCGTTTTTAAATTCCGGAAATACATCGTCGTAGTGGTGTAGGATTCCAATAGCATTGTTCCGGTGTTAAGCGTCGAGCCACCGGCGCCTGTAAAATTAATATATCCTCTCAGGCGAGTGTTATTTCTCATTAGCTCATTAAACACAGGATTATGGCCGTCTGCGATCGCGATCTCGGACTCGGCGCGTGATTCTGGGATGAGGGGCTCACCGCACTTAGAGTAGAGCACCTTGTGAAAGAGTTTGTCCAGGGAAGTACTGCCACCTTACCTATTTCTGCCACCAAGGTGTAATGTAAATGTGTGAGGTGAAATCTAAATGACACTGCAATTATTATCGCTTGCCATCAGGCGCAGGACCTGTTCGGCCCGTCACTTGATATTATATTTTAAAAAAACTTCCGTGGACTTTTCACAAGGATCTCTACTGTTTCCCCACCACTCGGATCGCCGACATGAAAAGCATAAGCTTTTTCTGAGGATACCACGTCGTACCTACAGATACCGCGGCATAATTCCCATTAGTGTGCACTTGCATGTAAGGAAGCCGAGCCATCGCATCTGTGGGCGCCGGGCCTTAGAAGGATGCGTCAGAAGTCACCTTGAGTGTTACGTTTGGGTTAGATCTGATTGATTGTTGTCTAAGGTTAGGACTTGGTAGATAATAGTTAAATTCAAAAAGCCTCAGGAAATAAAACCTTGCCAAATGTGATAAATATGAATAAAATTGCGGTTGTCTTGTCATATTTCTAGTTGCCCATACATTTGCGATTCACATCACGGGTGAAGGCTTCAAGATGAGACATGTAGTACCTACTAACGGATTTTGAGACCGGGACATTACGCCGCGTCACGTCGGCATCCAATTTCAAATAGAATATGATATATGACAATTATTCATACCTACATGTAAGTTGGTACAGAAATAGATTCATTAAGGAAGTAATTTCGTAAAAAGCTGTCTCCAGACTAAATTGCAGCAGTAATTTAAAAAACGCTATCCATGATTGCGCGTAACGATCGCTAAGCGTCGCGTAATTTGGTAGCGTACGCTAAGTGCTGGCTCACGAGTTCTCGCAGTATGCTAATAGACGATCATGTGCACCGATTATGAAGGCCGTGGGTAAAAAGGTAGGTCTGAGTGAAACAACAAACTCTATCATAGCCTTGATGAGATAAGGTTATTAATGAACGTAAATTGTCACGGGAAGTCGTCTATAGTAAAAAGGGG